CATGTTCTTTCTTTCCTTAAAAATTTCCATTGGAGTCCAAGGAAAGTATCCAGCAAGATGGCTGTGGAACRCAGAGGAATGTGGGGATCACCCATGGGCAGGCTTAGAGAAGCAGTKGGAGCCACTGGAGTGGGAATGGGGGGGATCACAGAATYGTTAGGGTTGGAAATGACTTTGAAGACTAGCTAATCCAACCCCACAGACTTGGAGCAGCAGGAGCCATGGAGTGGGAACGTGGGGGTCATCCACAGGCAGGCTYGGAGGAGCAGCTGGACCTGCTGGGCTCTGTGGGGGGGATCTGGAGGACACAGCTGGACAGCCTCAGCATGTGGGATGCTGTCCTTGCTGGCCTCGTGCCCTGGGCTTGGATTCCCTGGGAGAAGGATGAGCTCTGGGTTCCGAGAACGTCACACACTCCCAGCCACGTGCATTGGCAGCTGTGGGGCCAGGGAGATCGTGGTGCACCACACAGAAATAGCTTTTCTTCCCTAGGGAAGCAGGGTTGTTGCTTCCAAGAAAAAGTGGATGTTGTAACCCTCAGTTCTCACACCATTTCTTTGTACCCTGAGATTATCCTACTTCCATGCAATCGGGGATTTCTCCTGGTGCACCTGTGGTTTTGTAAACTTTGTAGGAGAACTGGAGGGAGGATTGTGTCCCACGTTATCCTGGGTCATTTCGGGTTAGTTGCATCATCCTCYTCACTCTGGTGGGACAGAATCACATCTGGGGAGAAAGGATTGGGAAATAGGAGGTGATGGCCCTGGCTAAACCCTGCATGGCAGCAGCAGAGGAATTTCTGGGATTTATYCTTCTCCCAGTCTCTATCATCCCAGTGCTTCAGATTTGATTCTGTGTAGARTTCACTGCAGCAGACACCCAGTTCCTACTGAAGGAATTTTCAAAAGCTTCCCAGAGCAGAAGTTGCATCAAAAATCATTGGGCGTTTGTGCTTGTGCATCCTGTGGGGTCTCCTGAGAATTCCATCCTCAGGAAAARCTTTGTCCAGCCCTTTGTGGTGCAGCACTGGCGTCTTGGATGTGAGATCCAAGCAGAGAGCTGTTCCCTGCCCTCTCACAGATACTGACAGCTAAGCCTGAAGGTGTTTTTTTTCTGCCTTTATTGTATGGTGGAATTTAAAGGTTATGGATTATTCCCATTGCAGCCTTCCAGTCTCTTGGAGGCAGAGGGTGGGACCAGACCCTGCACTGAGGTGGTGCTGGAGGTGCCAGATGCTCTCAGAGATCCTGGGGTGTCTCAGTGTCCCCTTTGTCCCCAGGTCAGGCGCTACCAGGTGCTGCTGGCCCTGATGCTGTCCAGCCAGACCAAGGACCAGGTGACGAGTGCTGCCATGCTGCGCCTGCGCCAGCGCGGCCTCACGGTGGACACMGTGCTGCAGATGGATGATGAGACCCTGGGACAGACCATTTATCCCGTGGGATTCTGGAGGGTGAGTGCAGAATCTCCACATTCACGCAGAGGGACCCCCTATGCCCTTCCCGTGAGGAGCTTTCCCTTGGGAAAAGGCTAAAACCTGGATTTTACACCAATTTTGGTACTCGGTATTTCCAGCAACATGAGATCTTTGGCTGCAGAGCCTGGAGTATGCCGGGAAGTTGGAGCTCCCAGCTCTCAGCATTTTGATTCCCAGGAAAAGTCGAAGCTCTGTCACCTTCCATGTGTGGCCTCACCTGTAACACACCCTCAGAAATGGTGGGGTTTCTGGGCTGTTTTTTTGTTCTCTCTGTACTGGAGGGCAGCTTGCACCGTGTGCGTTTGCCCTTGGTTTTCCAGAACAAGGTGAAGTACATCAAGCAGACCACGGCCATCCTGAAGCAGAAGTACGGGGGTGACATCCCAAGCACAGTGGAGGAGCTGGTGCAGCTGCCAGGAGTTGGGCCCAAAATGGCCCATTTGGCCATGCACATTGCCTGGGACAGCGTGGCTGGGATAGGTGAGCTGGACTGTGTTTTTCCTGTTCCTCTCCTAAATCCTGCCTGATCCATTCCCCAGGCAGAGGGGAAGCATTGCAGATCCTGCTCCAGGAGCCTGGTAACATCCCTTTGGTTCACTTGTCTGCAGAGTATTTGGGTGGGGGAGCAGTGACCCTCAACCACCCCCTCAGTGAGTTGTAGGATTTAAGCAGCTGCTGTTTCTCCCCAAATGTGATAGCAGAAATTCCCAAGAGAATTCCCACTGCCCTGGGGAGCTGGTGCGAGAAGGGGCTGGACTGTCACCTGCAGGTCGCAGCCTGGAGCCCCTGGGGACAGATTAATGTTCCAAAAKAATTTGCTGCTTGATGGAAGAGCCCTGGGAAAGCCAGGATGAGCGAGTGGGCGGGAGCTGGACCCTGCAGCCCCTCTGGTGACCATCAGCTGGCCAGGCTGCAGCCCTTGCACTGCATCCAAGAGCCCTTGGGGTCTGTTGTTCTCCTGCTTTAGGGGGAGGGAAGTCCAGAGGCAGCCAAACCAGCCAAGTGTTTTCCAAATAATTGTGTGCTCGGTTTTGATTTGAGAGGCAAGGCTTAGTCTTCCTGTTTACAGCAATTTCCTGGGTTTTGCCCAATTAGCCCTAGAGACAGGTTTATCACTGCTGATCTAACAATAATACACTTTGCATTCAGAGCTTTGGAGCTCAAAGCACATTATAAACACTCCTCTAAGCCTCCCAAGCCCTCTCTGCTGGTGGGGATTATGAAATGTGTTTTCTGTGTGGGCAAAGGAAGGGGCAGAGATCACARTTTGCGTAACTTCAGCCSAAGCACCGGGAGGATGAGAATGTARAGAGGGATTGGSGGATAGGCTGCCCTGTGCCTGCTCCACAGAGCAGGGGAACCTTCTGGGGAGGCTGGCTTGGGTTGTGTGAGCCTGGGGAGAGACTCCCACCCCAAATGCTTTTGGCTCCGGGCCTGGGAAGAAAATGTTTGTTCTTGGAGTGAGCCTTCCCGGCCCTCCACTCCCATTGCTGCTTCTCTGCCGTGCCCTGGGCCTGGTGGCTGTCACAGGCAGCTTTTGGCTGTGCTCTCTCCGTCCAGGTGTGTCTGTCTGCCCCACCTAAACTCTGGGCTCTCCCTCCCCAGCTGTGGACACCCACGTGCACAGGATCTCAAACAGGCTCAAGTGGGTGAAGAAGGAGACCAAGAACCCCGAGGAGACTCGGGTGKCACTGGAGGACTGGCTGCCCAGGTGAGCCCTGAGCCCCTGCTGGCTGCAGGAGCCGTGTCTGCACAAAGTCCTGCTTGGAGCAGTTTTGGGGATTCCATTTTGGCTCCCTCCTCTTCCCAGGGTTGCAGTAGCTGCAGCTGTGTCCCCTCTCCCAGAGCTACAGCAGCAGCATCTCACCTGCCTGGTGGCTCTGTTGCTGTCAGATGGATCAATCAACACTAGCAGAGCTCTTGGTCCCTGATTTTTGCCTTACCAAGTTCACCATGATCCAAGCCAGTTGTTTTGCCACACAGAGCCCTGCTAAGCCCAATGGCCACAGCAGCATCAGCCCAGGGCTGGATCCTGGCCTTCACYGGTGGTTAATTAACTGGTGGTTAATTTTCAGTATCAAACCCCATCTGACAGGTACACAGRGACATCTCACACCTGGCAAATGCCTGAGCACAAGCATTGCTCCCCCCCAGTTTAGCAGGATCAGGAAGAGTTGTGAGGGCTGTTTCTAGCAGGGATCAGGAAGGGTTGGGAGGGCTGGCAGGCTGGAATTCACCTCCAGGGGATGCAGTAGGGGAAAGGGATCCCATTAACATCCCAGCCTGTTCCTCAGCCCTTCCAAGCAGCTGCATGGGAACATTTCTGTTTCTCCTCTCGCTGCAGGGAGCTCTGGAGGGAGATAAACTGGCTCCTGGTGGGYTTTGGCCAGCAGACCTGCCTGCCTGTGAACCCTCGCTGCAGCCAGTGCCTCAACCAGGACATTTGCCCGGCTGCCAAGAGAGTCTGAGGGATCATCCAGCCTCTGGAGAGCCACAAAGCTGCTTGGGCTGAGCCCTGRCAAAGCTGGGCCTGGCACAGGGCTGGCAGTGTGACTGCAGGGGACAGGAGCAGGCTGCAGCAGCTCAAGGGAACAGCCACTGGCATTGGCTCAGCTCTCCAGAGGAAAAAGAGGCTTTGAGAGGCAGCAATCCTGCTGGGACAGAGCTGAAGGCTCCAGCCTGGGTGAATGGCTGAGCACGTCCCAGCTGTGCCACACTGAGTCACTGGAGAGAAAAGCTTTGTCCTCAGGGACTGGCTGCTGCTTGTAAATACTCATTTAATAAAAGTGGTGACGGTTTTTTTTTGCACCCACGAGGTTTGCTGGCGTTTTTGTTGTGACACTGAGTGAGGGGAGGAGAGTGTGGGTGACCTCAGCAAGGCTGAGACCATGACAACCAGCCCTGCCCTGCCAGGGGCTCTGCACGTTAAGGTGTACTGGCACCAGGACAAGAACTGGGCCAGGGGACAGTCAGGATGGGCAGCAGGAGGAATTTCTTCATGGAGAAGGTTGTTAGCACTGSAAGGGGCYGCCCAGGGACATGGTAGAGTCCCTCCCTGGAGGTGGCACTCAGTGCTCTGSGCTRGGGACAAGGTGGGGATTGGGCACAGGTTSAACTCGATGATCCTGGAGGTCTTTTCCAGCTTTGGGGATTCTGAGGCACAGCTGAAGCCTTCCCAAGCCAGGAGCACAGGGAATCACTGCCTGGACAAGTGACCTCTGGGTCCTGGCAATAGAAGAGTAGGGACAGGGGATGAGCCAGAGCCCCTCTGTGTGTGCCACAAGGGTTACAGCAGCCAGGGGAGCCAGGCTGTGTCCCCAGGAGCTGACGGAGGGACACCGGCCCCCCCTGCGTTTTGTTCTTCAAAGAAAGGGCAGTGCTGACTTCATTGTGGAGCTTCAAAGGCTTAATTCCAGCTCCTCTTTAAAGAGGTGAGGGAGGAAACAAAGTTTACAATGTGCRAAAGGGCTGCAATTCCGCTCTGGAGCTCCCTGGGCAGCCGGGGAAGGAGCAGATAAGTGCGGGGTACATGGCAAACCAAGTTTATTACTGACATTACAGTGTACAGGGTGGGTTTGCAGTGCTGCTGACAGCCTTAGACTTTATTGATTTTTCTTTTCCAAGTTAAATGTACAGGAACTGAATAATTACTACTGAGCTACAAGATGTCAGGAATGCAGTAATGCTTCAACCAGGAGCAGTTTCCATGGACTAAGGAGATTAAGATTTTCAATCCTATCAGTACGGATTCGTACACCTGATTTCTTTTGATCTACATTCAAAACTACACAAGGTGGATTTTTTTTTTTCTTTCCCCCCTCAACTACAGCAATCTTGGATGAGAAATGGGGTGTTTACACCAGGTCTCTGCTCTCTGCCGTGCAGAGTGTCCTGGGAATGCTCTGCCCTGCGCAGCCCGGGCGCTGCCGGGGTTTGGCAACGTGGGCATGGGAAGCAATGTGCACACCATGGAAAAGAAGGGCACCTTCCAAACATTACCCAGAGAGAGAAGATAATATTTTGGGGGCCAAAAAGAGAGCAGGTAATTTGAAGTGGGATAGGGAAGAGGTGTCTTGTTAATGGCAGAGCCCCAAGGAGAGGCAACCTCTCTGCATTCCATCATCCCACTGCCTGTCTCGTCACCCACAGCCAAACACCTGCACCAGTTCCTCTCCAAAGTCATTGTTTTCAACCTGTTCAGCCCATCAACAATCCTGAAATATAACTTTCATCAAGAGAACTCGTCTCCTTCACCCTGAGGCTCTCCACGCTCTCCTGCCAGCAGCAAAGGGCCACAGGCACCAACTGCTCCCCAGGGAAGCTGAACACCCCGTGCTGAGTCCCAGCCCGCTGCTGAGGAGAGCAGAGAATGGTATAAGGCACCTTTTAGCTCTATGTTTTGGAAATATCTTAGGAAATCCGTGCAGAGCCGTTCCCACATCCGTAGCACACTGACCACCCGAGGGTTTTTATCACAGAAGAGCTGGAGCAAGGCAGGGCACGACCACAGCTCCGTGTTCACACCTCATCCATGGCCAGGTGATCGCTGCCGTTTGCTCTCAGCTGGGAAAAGTGTGTTTGTACTCCCAGTCCCTTCCCACAGCAGGGCTGGGATTGCTGCTGGAGCTGGCAGGGAGTGGGAGAGCTCCAGCCCCTGCCCTGGGAACAGCTCAGCTGAGTCACCTTCGCTCACACAGCCAAAGGCAATAATAAAGAGCTTAAATGGACTTAATCTGTAATGCTTTAAAGATACACTTTGAATGCCGAGAGTGGGGGTTTGAAGGAGGCCACAGGAAGCCCAAGCTGCTGCCCACCCCATCACACCAGTGCCTGCCTCATATCCACAAACACCCCACAGCTGCAGAGGATGTCCTTCCACTGGTGAGACACTCCCGGGCTGGAGACACCAAATCCCATCCCAGGTGGGACCTGGAAAAGCTCCAGCCACAGCCAGCCCYGCTCCTCAGCGCCGAGCCTGCAGCTGGAGGTGCATCCCCGTGTTCTCTCCTGGAAGCAGATGTTGTCCTCATTTCCAGCTCTGTCCATGAGTTTTTGTAGCATCTCRTGGTTCTCATCTTCGTGCTCCATGGGGCGGGAACGGCCCTGCACTCTCCTTCCCCTGCCACATCCATGGCTGCAGATGGGGATTGCTTTTAAACCCTGCCCTCCTCCCCACTGCAGAGCTGTCTGGATGAAAAACGAGCTTTTACTGCTGGGGCAGGAGCTGCTGGTGGGGGGAGGTTTCTAAGCTAACTGGAAACACATGGGACTTCATTAAAAAAAACAAAAAAACAACAAAACAATCATTTTTGCTTCAATAGCAAAGCCAACAAGAGATTTCCAGCCACAGTCCATTTTCCCATGGTGGGAGTAGCTGGGCATTGGGAGCTGGGGACGGRGTCCCTGGCACCCCCAGCCTGCAGGCACCCACCGTGAGCCATTTACACAGGGCACAGAGCATCCCATGGGGCTCAGTCTGGGACACCCACAAACCCAAAACACCCCTCATAAAAAGTAAAAAAGAAGYAACAGAAGCCTAAATGATGCGGGTAAGAAACAAGAGTTAAAATTCTTCCAGTCCTTTCTCATAGGAACGGGGGACGGTGGGCAGCTGGAGCCAGGCTCAAGAGCAAGCAAGAAAAGGAGCTTTGGTCACGTTTGTCTTATGAGAATCGCTGGTGAGTAACAATAATAATAATAATAACAATAATAATAAAAAATAAAAATAAAAAGGACTTTAAAATACGCCTTGTAAAAGCAACCAGTGAAGAGCAGAGCACAAAGCATCTCACGTGGACACTGAAGGACAGGGCGTAGGCACCTCCGAAACGTCCGAGCTGGGGCGGGAGGAGAGCGGACGGCGACCCCCAGCAGGGCTCAGAAATTGCTGAAAATCTCCCGTTTCTTGTTCCAGTCCATCTGCGGCGCTCGCTTCTTCACACGCTTGGCCCTCACCTTCTCCTTGGCCTCGGCGGCCGTCGGGCTCAGGCTCAGCCCACTCTCCTCAAACGGGTCCTTCTTGTCCGTGTCCCCGTCCTGCGTGGAAAGGGACAAGAGCTGTCACCCCTGGCAGCATTCCCACACTCTGCAGGGTCCCACAGCCTTTCATGGAATCACTGAGGCTGGAAAACACTCCAGGATCATGGAGTCCATCCTGTGCCCGATACCTGCCTTGTCACCCAGCCCAGAGCACTGAGTGCCACCTCCAGGCGTTCCTTGGACACCTCCAGGCATTCCTTGGACGCCTCCAGGGATGGGGACTCTCAACCTGCGCACTTCTAGTGCTTAACAACCCTTCCCATGAAGGATTTCCTCCAGCCTGCACGATCAGCAAATGGGCAGGGATGGGTTTTTTAGRAGCAGAAGGTGAAAGGCCCTTCCCTGTGCCATGTCCATGGTTTCACAGGCAGCAGTAGCCACATGGTCACGGAGCCCATTACAGCTCCACCAATTCTTTGGGGGTGTTTCTGCTGCCTGAAGGATGTGGCACTGCACAGCTGCAAGTGGAAAAGCAGGAGCACAAGAGCTGCACTCGTGTCAGGTGTGGGGAATGCACAGAATGGAGATCTTTGGTTCCAGGGAAACGTTTCAAAGCTTTCCTGCTGGMCCTGCTGCCCCACCAGGCATGCCCAGCTCTGAAATAATGAGTGCACAAACCCTGCTGATAACCATGGGCAGGGCCTTCCCCCAGCCTTGCTGGGCTGAACCAAACCAAASTGAGCCCAGCAAAGCCCTCACACCCCCAGGGACTTTGGCTTCCAGCACAGAGGTGGCAGAGTGACCCCTGAACAGCCCGAGGGTGGCTCCATGGGAGGCACCGCCGTGCTCCAGCCCACCTTTCCAACTTTGCCACCCCAGGGACTCTGACTCGTCGTGCAGTGACCCCTGAGGCAGCCCAAAGGTGACTCAGGGATAGAACCTGCCATGCTCACCACGAGGACACAGCCTGGCTTTCCCGAGGCAGCAGCCATTGGATCAGGACATGCATTATTCAATGCTYGGGGTGGCAGATTGCAGGCGCCTGGCCACAGCTCGGACACAGCTGGTGCCCGAGAGAGGCTTTGGGGCTGGGGGGCTCACAGAGAGGCCCCATGAGCACTTGGGGTTGTCACATTCCTGCTCCCAAACGTCCTGGGGCAGGGGACAGCCCAGCAGAGATCCCACAGAGCACCTGCAGGGAGACTTCCCTCTATTCTTAGCAGAACCTTGTGCTGAAGATAAATCTTTGAGCACTTTACAAATCCCCATTTCTTATTTTAAGAGGAAGCAAACCTGCTAAATCAATAACACTTGAGAATACCAATCTATGYCCTGTGTTGACTTTCTTTTGAAAGGCTGCCACTTTACCTTGCCCAACAAGTTTTGTCCCTTTTCAGTGTTGAGCCACAGCAGAAAAAAACCCTCAGCCCTGCCAGTCACCAAAATCAATTCCTCCCCTCCTCTAAACACTGTGATAAATTCCCTGTGCTCCAAACTTTAAAAAAAACCCCAAAACATTGGCTTTCTTTAAATTTTAGCCTGCCCTGGTCCTGGTAGCAGCACTTGAGCCTCACAGTTCTGCTCCTCAGGGATCCCCAGCTTCGTTGTATCTCATCACTGTAATTATATTGTAAATAAAAAACTCCTGCAGACATCCTTTCACCTCCCAAACCATCCCAGCAGGAGTCACTGCCCAGCTGGGTACCAATGACCTTGCTGTGCTACCCCTGGGTGCTCCCTGCTCCACACACCCACAGCGCAAGGGATGAGAGAAAACCCAGGATTTTGGTTCCTGGGTGGATACAGGTGAACGTGGGAGCTGAACTGAAAACACATCAATCACAGCACTGAGAGGAAGGACTGTACCCACAGCAGGGTGTGAGTGGACAGGGAGTGTTTGGGGGTTTTACCTCKGATTCCTTCCCGGGACTCTGCAGGTCGCTGTGAGATGATGATGTGGATCCTCCGTTCAGCTGGGGGGAAGGAAAGTGTCAGTCTGGTTTGTGGCAGATGGAATTAAACACACAATAAACAGCCAGGTASAGCAATGCTGGGCTGCTCCAGGGATGGGAATGGAACCAGGAGGGGATGGTCCTGCTGCTGTCCCCAGGCAGAGCATGGTCCCCGTCCTGCCAGAACCGGGACATGGCCACCTCCTCCCTCGGCCACTGGGATTAAATGGGGCTGAAACTGGCCTTGTTCAACCCCTACATTAAAGCTGCAGTGGGAGCAATGAAAGCCAGCCAGCAGCAGCAGCAAAGCTGAGCTGAATGAGTCCTGGATGACCCTGATCCCCCCTGGTCACTCCAGCACATGGCCCCTGCCCCGGCCATCCCCTGCGGCCAGCGAGGACTCACCTGGGTCTGTGCAGATCCATTGGTCATGGGCTGGGGCACCACACCTGGACAGCACAGAGAGATCACACAGTGAGTGAGTGSCCTGGGCTGGGATTGCTGCCTCAGRTCCCAGAAAAGCYGGGATTGCTCCTCAGACCCCAGGAAAGCATCCCTCAGCATCATCACCTGCCACCCCACACCTTCCTCCTCCCCTGCCCACCCCAGCAGCTCATCCTGTCCCTTGACTCTGTCCTGTGCTGTTTCCCTGCGCACACAGAAGCCTTTCCACCCTCCCTGTGCCCCTCTGGAACCAACCAATTCCCCAGAATTCACTCCATTCCACCCTTTTGATCAGAGGAAAACACCTGCAAGGAAGGGGACCAAGTAATCTCCTACAGGTACTCATTGCAGCACACTCCCATTTTATTTTTTGACCATTAAATAGTTTGTCTTCAGAAGTTTTTAAATCAAAAAATCTTAAAAGCCAACTCAAAAATCTTCATCAAAATCACCACCGTGGTGTTGTCACAACAGTGCCTGGCACACAACCTGCTCTCAAGACGCCCTGGAATGTTTTTGCTCACTTCCAGTGATTTACACTAACAATAGCCCACACAATGGCAAATTCTATGCATTTAAGCTGCCAGTCACCACGATCAAGTCATCGCCCCAGGCATTACCATGTCTCACTGCTCCAGACTAACAGATGTGTTAATTGGGACAGGATTAATAACTGAATTATGTCAAGCGTGCACGATTCCCTAGGGACTGATTCAGGGCTGCATCWCTGCAGACTGCAGGGATTTCTGGGGCAAAGCAGGAAAATAAACCTAAATAATGATTTTGAGAGCATGCTGGTGCAAAAACCTCAGTTGTGACTGGGATTCTTAAATATTTTATACCTGTGAATGCTGGACTCGTGTTTAGAGTACAATAAGCTCTGAGCAATGGGCATCACAAGAATCCGCTCACACAGAAGTGAAGTTTAGGTCTGTAGACTCTGGTGTCATAAGTAGCCAAATTTTAAATTATTTAAATTAAAAACAAACTTCAGATGACAAGGGATAGAAAAGTGGGATTGGCCTTCAAAACCAAATTTGCCATGTCTAGAAATATTTCTGTATTTCCTTAATCTAAAAGGGTTTTAGGACCCACCCATTGGCTCAGAGGTTGAGGTGCTCARGATGAGCTGCAAGGTTGGGCATGGTCAGTTTGAGGCCAAAGCAGTTCAGTTAAAGAGRACAATTCTTATTCCCTGTCACCCTGCAAACGGCAGCATCTCCCAGAGCCCTCTGGCACCTTTGGCAGGTGCCAGGCAGAGCCAATTCCTGCTCCGGGGTGAGCACAGAAATCCCAACGGGCTCGGTGGCCCCGGCCCCATCCCGGGAACAAGGRCTCCTTTATGGCAGCGCCAGCAGACAGCCCCGGCTCCTCCTCGGAGCATCTGACACCGCGCTCGCCCCGTGCGCTGCCCAGCATTGTCTGACCCATTTCCCGGGACAAATCTGCCCATTGAGCATCCCCGGAGCGCCGTGGGATCAGATAAGGAACAGCTGTGCTGGGAAACAGAGCTGCCCATTGAGCCGGGACAGGACGGGCAGGGCTGGGAGCTCSGTCCCCAGGCGGCAGCGGGGCAGGTTGGGGAGTGGAGGAGCAGCTTTCCCTGCCAGGTTTCGGCAGCCGGGAAAACATTTCCTGCAGCGGCCAGGCCGTGATCAGCCGGCGTGGAGCCTCCCTTCTGCACGCACCAGCCTTGCTTCAGTGCTCTCCAGGTGCCCACTGGAGYGAAGAGAAACGTTCAGGGAATCAGGGAATTGGTGATTTGGGTTGGAAGGGACCTTAGAGCTCATCCAGTCCCACYATRGCAGGGACACCTTCCACCAGAATAGTTTGCTCCAAGCCCTGTTGAACCCATCTTTGAAGGCTCCCCCTCATCCCACCACACCTCAGTCCCCCCGTGGCAGCGAGTTCCAGAGTTAATTATTCACCGTGTAAAAGCAACAAACTGTTTTTTGGCTGGMTGAGGGTGTATTCTCACCATTTATAAATAGCTGGGTGGTGCTCAGGAAACCACTGAGGGATGAGACAGGAGGGAAGCATGACTCTCCCTAACTYCTGAGATCCCACCCGTGGCACAGTGAGTCACCCTGCGGGAGGAAGGGCTCACCTTTGGTGTGCTCCTCCGTGGGGGTCACCCCCAGCTTCTTRAAGTACTCGTCGGTTTCGGGGTCCACCACCAGGAGCCTGGCTTCGCTCTCCCTGGATTTGATGTGGGACACCACCTCCGAGTGCCGCAAGCCCTCCACGTTTATCCCGTTCACCTGCAGAGCGACGACATCATAACCCAAACCTGTGCCCAGAGGCTTGGTCCTGGCTCCCAGATACCCAGAGCAGACCCCTCCTTCCCTAAGGGGTGGGATCTTCCTTTTTTCATTCCTGTTGGGATGACAGGAAGGCTTTTTCCTTTCCTCTCACCAGCCACGGCCTCCTAAACCCACCCAGTGTCTGCCAGAGCATCCTCCGTGTCACCTCTGCCCGCATCCCAAACACATCCACGGGGAATCACAGACCTCAGGCTCCCACCAAACCCTCTGCCTGCCCTCTTTGGTGCTGTCAAACCCAGAATGTGCCCCAGCAATCTCAGGCTGCCTGTGGGCACAGACGGCGGGCTGGGTGCACCACTGTGCCCTGTGGCATCACCGTGCCACCCTCCACCCCTCYGCGATGGAACACCGCGGATTCCTGTGCCCGGATTCATCTCTCCATCCCTGCGTGCGAGCCGGGACCGACCGGGAACATGATCCTGCGCTCCCGATTGTTCCCCGCGGCGAGGGGACAATGGTGACTCAGGACATTGTTCGGTGGCAATGAATCACTCTTTGTCCCACCGGGAAGGGCTCTGCACCGCCCGGCCCCGGCGCGACCCAGGGTTCGTCCTCACCCAAAGGGACGGGGCAGGAGGACACTGCAGAGCCTCAGCTCCAAACTCCGGGCTCYCCCTGCTCCTAAGGGCACGGCTGCAGGGGCTGGGATGGAAAGGAGCCCGTTCCCAGGCTCTGCACCCCATTCCAGGCGCTGCCACCCGCATCTGGCRGCTCCCAGCCCTGCTCCATCCCCGTCCTGCCACTCCAGCTCACCCCAATCCACGCCCAGGGCTGAGCCCAGGGCTGCTCTCCCCCACCCCGCCACAGCGCTGGGGGCATCAAATATTTATCCAAGCCCCRAAGAGGAGGGGATCGGGTTTCCGAGCTCGCCAGCTCACCCCAAGCTGCTTTGTGTGTGCCAGGCCCCGGGCCAAGGCCATGAATAAATAACTCGACCCCTGGATGTGACACCGCCACCCGTGCCCCGCTCCCGGCCCGGCCCCGCGCTGCTCCAGCATTAAACTTTCAGTGCTGGGCAGAGGCAGCAGCTCCCACCGGCTGGGGATAATTATTCACAGGGCTGGAAAGCAGCWCTGTGCTCTGATCTCAGGGTTTTCCCAACTCACACTCTGCCAGGGTGCAGATCCCATTCCTGCTTTGAGCCAGGAGCGAGAGCCACGGCTCTGCCCCTGTGGGGTGGTTTTGGGGTTCACCCTCCTGGGGAGCAGCCTGAGCAGGGGATATCCATGTGTTCCCACAGGGAAAGGGGTGATGGCTGCTGTGCCTGAGCAGGGGATATCCATGTGTTCCCACAGGGAAAGGGGTGATGGCTGCTGTGCCTGGGGCACTGGCACAGTGCTGGGTCAGTCCCTGCCTGTCCCTCTGCCCGATCCCGTCCCAAGCATAGGCACCCCTGGATGGGGGAACCTCCTTCTCCGGGAAAAACACAACACACAAGCCAAAGAGAGGGCAATTCCCAGCCCCATCCAAACCTTTTGGCCCCATCCTGCACTAAAAGTCTTGTCCAGCACCTGGTGACCCAGCAAGATGCTTCCAAGAGCATTTTCTCCCCCRTCTTAAGACAAACAATTTTGTGTCTTAAAATCTCTGCAAAGTCTTTTCCACTGTTTTTTCAAGCACTTCCCTGGCAGGRCATCAGCTCAGCCGGGCAGCACTGACCTGGCCTTATGCCCACAGTCACCTGCCTGAGCCTCCTCGGTGCCAGGCAGAGCCAGCACAGCACCCTGGGGACATGGGGCAGTGCTGGCCTTGGCAGTGCCCAGGGAACGGCTGGACTCAGTCATCTTGGAAGGCTTTTCCAGCCTAAACAATTCCATGTTTCCACTCTACAATTCTGTCCAGACCCCAGAGCTCACAAATGCCCGCTTGGCAGGGGTGGAAGGAGCACAAAGCTGCTGCCAGAGCAGCCCCATCGGCCTCATGGCTCTGAATTAGAGGACCACGGAGGGGTTGGATGGGAAAGGTGAGGGTCCCATCCCTGCTGCTGCCCCCTCCCACCCCGCAGACCCCCCCTCACCTCCACCAGCCGGTCCTGGGGCCGCAGCCCTGCCCGGGAGGCCGGCGAGTCGGGATCCACCGAGCGGATGAACTGCCCCGGCCGGGATTTCTCGCTGTGCAGGTTGAAGCCGTAGCCATTGGGGCCTTTCTTCAGGTGGCAGAGACGTGGGCACAGATCCTTCTGGCCGTTCAGATCCTGATTCATGGGGGAGACAAGACAGAGGGGTTAATTTATGGCTTTGGGGTGGCTCTAAGGCAGATGTGGCTGTAAATAAATCCCCGAGGAAGCRCCGTATCTGCCCCCCATCCTCCCGTCCCCGCAACGGGGACAGGGTAACAAATGGATTTCCTCTCATTGAGTCTATTTTCGAAACCCAATTGTCCAAAACCACTCCAGAAAAATGAAAACAAAACAAAAAATGCATTTCCTTCACCAGGAGTGGCCCAGATTAACCCACCCGGCAGCGGCCGAGCCCCAGCCCCGGGCAGGGAGGCCGAGCTGTGCCTTGCCCAGGCTCACCCAGACCCGGGATTAACCTCAGCCAGGTATTCAAGGCAGCGCCACACCCTTGGTGACACGGGCATCACCCAGTGGTGCCATCGTCTGTCGGTGACCGGGGCAYCAGGACGGTGAACCCGAACATCCCAGAGCTCCCTGCAGCTTGGCAGGGCTGAGCCTGATGGGATGAACAGCCCAGAGACACGAGAGAGGGTCAGCACGTCCCCTTGTGCCATGGAAAATGCTTTATGGCTCCTCAGGGTGGCCAGGGAGCAACGAATCCCGGCTTTCTGCGGGTCTGCAGGACCCCAGCTATGGCACAGCTCCACATCCCTGGCACAAGGGATGTCCCAGAGACTCAGATTTTCACCCATGGTTTAAGGAACACATCCCCCCTGGATAAATTTTACCCTCCCCTCGGCAGGAGCACGGCTTGCTCTCTGCCTGCCCGCAGAGGGGGTTTGTCTGGRATCACATTCACTAAAAATCTCTAACAGCCTTTCCCTTCAAAGTAAAAATCCAGGCGGCAACTTCCTCCTCCTTCCTCTCCTGGCCAAAAAGCGCCATGGAACACCAAACCTTCCAAATCCTTCACTCCCACAAGGAGGGATTGTACAGAGGAGCACAAAGTGGGGACACACAGAGTGGTCACCTCAGGCGGATCCTGTGCCGGGGGATGGAATTTTCACAGAATCCCAAAATGGTTTGGGGTGGAAGGGRCCTTAGAGATCATCTTGTTYCAAACTTCCACTGTCCCAGGKTGCTCCAAGCCTCTTCCAAMCTGGCCTTGGACACCCCCAGGGATCCAGGGGCAGCCACAGMTGCTCTGAGCAATTTTGGCTGTGGCTGTGATGCTCAGGGGCAACAGAGGTGGATCAGGGGTCAGTACCAGCCTCTCCCAGCATCCAGGGAGAAACAGGGATGCAAAATGAACACAGAGAATGTTCTTCCAGGCTGGAAGAAACCACTGAAAGTCATTTAAGTCCATTCTCCTTGTTCAAGCTGGGCTCCCCACCACTCAGGATTGTGTCCAGACAGCTTTCCTCTGGCACAGGAGGGGCACCACAATCAGCAAATTCCTCAAAAACTGTGCACCACCAGCAATGCCCATCACAGGCATTGGGGCACACTCAGAACTGCTCCTGAATTTGACAAAGATTCACTCAGCAATTGGGTTTTCTATTAAAAAACAGCTCGTGGTGTTGACACCTCAATCCCAGGTCAGTTCTTGAAAGSGGAAAGTCACCAGTGCAACAACCCAGATCAGGGTGGGGGTCCCARGCCGCTCCTCTACCTGCCCCACACACCCAGAGCTGCCCCATCCTCTCCCTTGGCACATTTACCCTGCTGGACTTTTCCCATGGCCCCGGAGCAGCCAGTTCACCCTATCAGCAAACATTTCCAGCCTGCCTCCGAGTTCTTCAAAAACTGAAGAAAACAGGAAATGATTCAACCGGCCCGAGAGGGTCGGACTCGCGTGACCTTAAAGGACACACRGGGCTCTGTGCAGCAGGACAAGGGGAGCACGCCTGGGGTCACCAAAGTGCATCTGGGATCACCAAAATTCATCTGGGATCACCTATTTGGGTTTTAAAAGGACGATTTTAAACCATTTTCCTCCTGCTTTGTTTTCACAGGGTCAGAGCTCCTGAAGCAGTGTGAAAACACTGAGAGAAATCACTGAGAATCACCCAAAAATCTGTGCTGGAGGTGCTGTCCCAGCAYGGGGATCCCTCGAGGACACCCTGGCAGGGTCAGTCCCTCCTCCTGCAGGGGATCCCCTGGGATCAGCAGTGAAATCAAATGACTCACTAAATAAACCACAGAGGGAAAAGCTTCCCTGCAGGATCCCTGTGGCTGCCAGGGTGCTGACCTGTGCCATGTCCTATGTGGGTTCATCCTGCTTTCACCACAGAATCTTGAATTTAAGGTCCCTAACTGGCAYGAATTCAAGCACTTATTTTTAAATACATATATATAAAAAAATAATCTCAATTCAGCATCTGCTCTGGGCAGAAATCCTTGGGGAAAACTGCTTATCCTCCCGCGGAGATGATCCGGGGCTTTTGCTGGGCTCTTAAACCTCCCAACTAAGGCAATCCTTGGCCKCTGGAAAAAACAGGTCTTGGAGCTGAGCTCTGCAAAGCCCCTGTCTGGGATTAGGCAGAGGCTGACACTGCCCCGGCTCCCCCTGCTCACACCCCCAAGACACGGAGCCGCTGCCTCTCCTGCCAGCCCCGCTCTTTATTTTCTTTTTGACCCGTGCCAGCGTTTCCCTGGTTGTGTTCTGGGAAGATATTTCCTAAGCTCCCGGGGGAATTTGGCCTTTGTGAAACCCAAGCCTTGCCACAAAGCGTTCCCTGGAACAGCRGCGCGTTATCTGGGCTTCCCAGGAACCCGCCTGCAGAAACGCTCGGCTCCCGCTCCGGAGGAGGCTCCGGCGCCTTTCACACGCCAACCGCTTGGGAGCCAATTTGGATTGAGTTACATTCACATGGATACTGGAAAGCAACAAAACCCAACTCGGTTTTTTGTCTTAAAAAAAAACAAAAAACAAAAAAACAAAAATTGCCTGCACATACAAAAAAAAAAAAAAAATTGCAAAACGAAGTGCTTTTTTTCCAGGAATCTAGGCACTTCCAGTGGCCACTGATTTTATGGCAGGGCACTCTCAATCYCTGCTTGTAGTATCCCCAGGAATGTCTGTGCAGTAAATGCTGCCTGGATGATGAACAGCACTCACACCCCATCCCTGGAGCTGCAGCCTGGGGGAAAACTGGCAGCATTTTACAAGGAAAAAGGATTCAGAAGCTCAGCTCAAGCTGGTCCATTTAAAAATGCACAAACAAGACATTAAATAACAATGAAATGCTTTCAATAAAATAAAAAAAAAAAAAGGGTGTTGCCAGCTCTCACAATCTCATGGCAACTCTTGCAGCATCTGATTTTTTATTTCCCTTAGAGTTTCCAGCGCTGCTGATGGGAACTGGGGTCCCTCAGGGATCCCCCTTGGCTTATGGGGGTCACCTGTGGCTCACTGGGGTCTTGCAGAGACAGTCCCCAACTCCCTGGGGCTCCCCAGAGATACCCCTTGGCCCATGGGATGCCCAGCTCTGGCTTTGGGCCACCCCATGCAGTGACCAGGACYGTTCCCATCTTGTCCACCTGGGGTTGTGATCACAAATGGCACCAGCTCTCATTAATGARGGTTTCATTAATTGGCACGTGGCAGCTTCCATGAAAGCAGAATCTACTCCAGAAGCACCAAAAGGAACCCAAGTCCCTTCCTGGGTTTTGAGGGGCAGCAGAGCAGCCCCCAAGCTCCGTGACCTTTCCAAACCCACTTGCCCCTATGAAAGCCCCTCCCCAGCTCAGCACCACGAGGCCCCCAGTGCCAGAGACCCTCCCTCTGTCCCTGCTCTGAGTCACATCCCAGGAATGGGATGTCCCTGCTCCCCCAGGACACTCACAGAACCAAGCTGCACCCTCACATCACCCCCAGCCCCACCTGGAGCAGGAACAGGGATCAGAGACGAGCCCAAAGAGCTGCAGGAACAGCCCCATCTCTCCATCCCCAGGATGCCACATTGGTGGTCAGCTCCCAGGGCTGTCTCCAGCCCCTCTGCCCAACAAACCCATGAGCTAAAACGCCTTGAAAGCCACGGTTTAGGGCTTTCTTCGGGAATAAAACACCAGTGCCAGGGTGGACACCGGCTCCCCTGGGTCCTCCAGGAGAAGAGGAGGAGGAGGAGGAGGAGGAGGAGGAGGAGAACACACACACACACACACACAAACACAGAGCTACTCTAGCGGCCGAGGCCATGTCTGTACCATCCACCCTGTGACCCCAGTGGGTTCCGGCTCAACGCTGCTCCTGTGGTGCCAAGGTGATGTCACTGAGCCCCTMGGCACAAAGGTCACCCCAAACCTCCTCCCAGGCTGGTGGGACACCCTCAGGAACAGCAGGGTGTCCCAGGGGGTGTCCAGCAGAGCTCCAGCCCCGCTCACCACCCGCAATGGGGATTTGCTGGAACTCCACCAAGCTCATCTCCTGGGTGTGCCTGTCATAATCACCGGGATCAGGGCTCGGCCCTAATCAGCTCAGTCGTGCCTGGGACCACCTCACCCCGCTCCTGACACCCGCCCTGCCCATCCCGGGGGCTCTGCCATTCCCAGGGCCAGCCAAACAGGCTCCAGCCACCCCAYTGGGAATTGCAGCACCTGGATGCACTCCAGGCCCCGGTGACAGGTCAAACCTTTCCATCCCTGCTCGGCAGGGCTGGAGAAAACCCAGGCAGGAGCATTCCTGCCTAATTTACATTGTTGACATACTTTCTTTCAAGTCAGCTCCTCAGTTTCCTCTCCTTTTCCGTGTGGTTTTGGGCAGAAAACGGCTCCTTTGTTCCCCCCAAAATCAGCAGAACCCAGCAGGGCTGGGGGACACCGAGATGTCCTGGGGGGGACATTGCTCAGAGCCTCAGTGTCCATTCCCACTGCCTGCCCTCCASCTTGGGACTTTTCCATCCCCTGCATTTTGGATTCTTCAGTGCAGGCGGGGAGCAGCAGGGGATGGGATCCCCAGCCACCTTCAGGGGTTGTGGAGCAGCAATGTGGGATCCTGACCCAAACCCAAACCCAAACCCAGCAGGCAGAGGAGCAACACAGGGAACCTGGAAGGAGTCAAGGAGGGAGAGAAG